ATATTTGACTGGAAAACCACAAGTGGCTATCGTTAGAGCACTACAGCATTTAAATATCCACGTTTGGTCTTTGAAACAAGTAAGAAAATATTAAGTTCGGCCGGGCCCAACTTTTAATACCCTCCACCTTAAAGTAAAGGAAACATTTTTATATAAAAGTATCTGAATTCATTACTTTACATTTTAACTTCATATACTATTAAGAACTTTTGCATAATACAGTTAATCTTATCAAAACCATAAAGTGATTAGCCAAATCCGTGGAAAAACGTGGATAAAATAATCAAAGTACCGAATATCGGGAGGTACCTTTATATGGGGGCTATACCAAAGCGTCGACCTATACATGCAATGTCTCGCCACACGAACTGGGATCCGTTATGACCTACAAATACCAATTTTCAGACAAATCCGTTAAAAAAAATTTGGCATAAATCATCAAAATACCGAATATCGGGAGGTACCGTTATATGGGGACTATACCAAAACGTGGACCGATATATCTCATTTTCAATACCAACCGTCCTAGACACAATACAAATTGTTCGGCCAAATTTTGAGGCTCTACGTCAAATAATGTGAGCGGTATCGTGATTTCAACAGACAGACAGACAGACAGACGGACAGACAGACAGACAGACGGACATGGTTAAATCGACTTAGAATTTTATGCTGATTATGAATATATATACTTTGTGGGGTCTACGACGAATATTTAGGGATGTTACAAACGGAATGACAAAGTTAATACACCTTCCTTCCAAGGTGGAGGGTGTAAAAATGAAAGTTTGGTCCTTTTGGTCCTTGAAAAAAATCATTGAAAAATCCACGTTTGGTCTTTAAAAAAAATTGAAAAAAACTACAAGTTTAGTCCTTGAAAAAAAAATCATTAAAAAAATCAAGTTTGGCCATTGGGACGTTTGTTCCTTGAAAAAAAAAAATCATTAACAATCCACGCTTTGTCTTTGAAAAAAAAATAAAACTTTGGTCCTTGAAAAAAATTATTAAAAATCCACGTTTGGTCTTTGAAAAAATTGAAAAAAAAAATCCTCGTTTGGGCCTTAAAAGAACTTAAAAATAAATTGTTTAAAAAATCCATTTTTGGTCCTTGAAAATATCTTCTTTAAAAATCCAATCCAATCTAAGTTTGTGGCGTTGATGGATTTTAGAAAATATATCTGATGGTCTTCGTATAATATTGCTAGCTTTGATGATCTTTAAAAATTCTTATTTGAAAAAATTATTTCGGTGTGTCCTTTAAAAATATGTTTAAGAAACCAGGATTATGTCTCTGTTAATCCATGAAAAAATAATTTAAAAATTCACGATTATACATCTGTTAGTCCTTAAAAAATACGTTTAAAACCCACGATTACAAATATATTAATTTTTTTGAAATAATATGTATTTAAATCCAGGATTATAGCTTGGAAAAAATATGTTTAAAACTCCAGGATTTGTTAGTCCTTGAGAAATATATATCTAAAATCCAAGATTACAGATTCAAGATTGGACCTCGAAAATATATGTTTAAAAAAAAACACGTTGATCCTGGAAAAAAATATGTATATAACTCTATGATTGGTCCTCCAAAAAATGTGTCCAAAAAATTTAAATCGGTCTTCGAAAAAAATATGTCAATGAAATCCACAAATAAAGCTATTTTGTTCCTTGAAAGAATATGTTTAAAAATCCACGATTGGTCTCCGAAAAAAATTTGTCCAAAACTTGAAATCGACCCTCGAAAAAATATATTAAGAATATGTTTTAGATCTGCGAATTGTACAAAAATTTAGATTAGTCCTCGAAAAAAATAGTTTGAAAACTCCACTCTATTGTTCCTCGAAAAAAAATTTCCAAAAATGTGTATTGGTCCCCGAAAAAGAATATTAAAAAGGTATAAAATCTACGATTGGTCCTCGAAAAAAAAAAATGTTCAAAAATGTTGATTGGTCGCCAAAATTTTTTTTTAAAAAAACTCACGATTATTTCAAAAAATAAATATTAAAGAAAATCTACGATTATAGCTCTGTTGATCCTTGAAAAATAATTTCAAAAAAGTCCAAAAGTATAATATATATATATATATATATATATATATATATATATATATATATATATATATATTTTTTTTTTTTTTTTTTTTTTTTTTAAATTATACCTCAGGTACTTCAAAATTGTGTTAAAAACACACAACTATTATTCAATTTGACTTTGAAATATACTAGTCCTTGTAAATTCTTATCCTCATAATTCTCGAAAAATTTAATTCAAGTAATCTACAAATATTTACATACATAATTATCTTTAAAAAAATTCCTATATCCATACAATTTCCCCATTGATTGCAGTATTCAAATTTAGAATATCACACAAGTACATGACCCAACAATGATTGTGCTGTAATCACCAGCGTTCAAACACATTACCACCCTTCACGTGTCGTCGGATATAAATAAAACTGCTACACATTTTATTGTGTCAACATTACAAACATACGTACACACAGACACACACAAACATATTTATTTTCGTACACAAATTAGAAGAGGAATGTATTTGAATTGAATTATCACTTTCCCTTTTTTATTGGGTAAATTCTGTAAATGCTATAGTCGGTTATTAGGGTATATGATTTTAGACGTTCTCCTAAATAATATTAAAAAAATTAAATCTTTATTTCCGAATATTATGTCCAAAATGTTCGTGGATTTTTGATTTTTAAAAATTTTGAGCGACATGTTCATGAAATAAACTGTTAGCTTAGCCCGACGAAGTCAAGGAAGTGGACGGAAGAAAACAGCGACATCAGCAGAAATGTTTCGAAAAGTAAAGAAGCGACTTGATCGAAACACGCGTCGCAGTGGCCGAAAAATGGCTCGTGAGCTGAAAATATCGCAATATTCCATTCGGCAAATATTAAAAAACTGAGCTCGGGGTAAAGCCATTGAAGTTCCAAAAAGTGCAAGAACTTACATCGCAACAAAAAGAAAATAGACTTAAAAGAGGTAAAGAGTTGCTTCTCTTGGCAGAAAGTGGTGATCAGCCGAATTTGGTTTTTTTTTTCGATGAAAAAACATTCGTTTTCCAGCTGTTGGTAAACAAACAAAATGATCGTATTTACTTGTCAAAGAGGACAGCTGAAAATGTGCACCTTCGGTTGGCCACTAGAACTCAAGCGCCGGCCATGGTGATAGTGTGGGTCGCCATAACACCCGAGGGTCGCCAATAAATAAAAGCCGAATATTATCGCAAAAATATTCTGGAGGGTGTATTAAAGCCTTGGGCACGCAAACATTTTGGCTGCAGACCTTAGACATTCCAACAGGACTCAGCACCATCGCACTCAGCACGCGCCACCAAAGAATGGTCACAAAATGAGGTTCCTCGCTTCATTTCCAGCGCACAATGGACACCAAAATCTCCGGATACTAATCCGTTGGACTATTGTGTGTGGAGTATTTTGGAAAGCAAGGTTGGCACTAAAAATACCAAAGTGTCGATCACCTCAAGCAAGCGCTTCGCCGGGAATGGGCCAAAATATCGCAGAGCAACATTTGGGCAGCGTGTGACGATTTCATTGGCCGTTTGAAGGCCATAATTCGTGCCAAAGGCGACCGACTCAAACAAATCTAAACTTATTCTAAAATTTGATGCTATTTCCGACATTTTTTGTGTTTATTTAATAAAATTAAAAAAAAATTAAAAATTATGGCGTTTGACTTTGTTGCAGTTTTTTTTATCTCACCCTGTATATACCGTATTTTGATGATTTTAGCGACATTATTCACCGGAATTGTTTCACATTTCGTATATGAAGTTCCTAATGGGGACTACGTTCTATGACAGAAATTTGTCTATGCAGATCCAGGTCTTCGTATAGGCCCCATACAACGGTACCCACCCGCGATTTTCGGTATTTTGATGACTATAGGGACATTACTCAGCGAAGTTGTTTCAAATTTCGTATTTAGAGTTCGTAATGGGAACTACAGTCTATGACAGAAACTTGTGTATTCAGGTCCAGTTCTTCGTATAGACCCCATATATCGGTACCTCCCTTTATTCGGTATTTTGATAATTTTAGCGACATTATTCACCGAAATTGTTTCAAAATTTGCATTTGAAGTTCCTAATACGTACTACAGCCATTGACAGAATATTGTCTATGCATGTCCAGGTCTTCGTATAGACCCCATGTAAAGGTACCTCCCATTTTATTTGGTGATTTTAGCTACATTATTCACTGGTTTTTTTTCAAGTTTTGTATTTGAATATTGTAATGGCCTGTGACAAAACTTGCCTATGCAGATCCACGTCTTCGTATAGACCCCAATATAACGGATATCTTCGGTATTTTTAAGATTTTAGCACAACGGATTTTATTAACATTTTTTTTTTTGAAAATTTCGTTCCAAATGGTGGAGAGTATTCAAAGTATGCCCCGGACGAACTTACTGCATTTTTACTTGTTTAATTTCATATTTTCATAGAACTAGAATCCGATCCCAGAATGTTCAGAATTGTAATTTTCTGAAAAAATGTTTGGGACAAATTCATTTAATAAATTCAATTTTTAGAAACATATGAATTATTTATTCGAAGGCTGATTATTTGAACAGAATCCTGACTAGAAACACAAAACCTTCGAATTATCCTTATACATATTAATTTATTTTAAAAATAAAATACAACACATTCCATTCGCATACTTATTTTCTCTGAAAAAAAAAAATAAAAAAAAAAACATCTTTACAAAATATTCGAATAATCGATTACATTTACAAACGAAACCAACAACAACAGCAATTACATTTACACTTACATATTTGTGCATTTCTTTATTAGCCCACATTTTCATTTCCTTGCTCTTGCTCTTGAAAATGAAAATTTTCAAGAAAAAATATTATGAAAAACCACAAACAAGGCCAAAACAAACAGCCAAACAGCCAACCAACAAACACAAAAACCAAAAAGACAAGAAGGAAAAAACGCCAATTGAGCAATTTGCCTTGCCTCTAATTATGTCGCCGTTTCAGTGGTTTTCTTGAAATAGTAGCGTAGGGTCGGGAAAATTAAAACAAAGACAATTTTCTTGAAAAGTTAATAATTTTATAAGCAGCCAAGGAAAAGTAATTTAAATATGGGTAAAAATAAAGGAGGAGGTGGTGGAGGCGGCGGCGGCGGTGGTTCCGGTGGTGGTGGTGGCGGCAATGTAAGCAATAATTCGTAGTAAATTTTTTGAATAGACTTTAAATGAACAAGAAATTAATGTGTAATGAGTATTGACAACAAATTTTCGTGAGAAATTTTTGATTGATTATATAATTTAATCGATTTGAGATATTAAATTGAAATATCTACAGAATAAATTTTTTAAAATACGAGACTTTACCGACATTTTGATCCAAATTTAAAACAAATAAAAACGGGGCACTTCGGCCGATCTGAACTTTTAATAGCCTCAACAATAAGGTAAAACCCCTTATTAATTATAATATAGGGATTCAATATTCGAATTGACATATATATGTTCGGCCTGTAAACCCATTTGAAAACAAATTTTTCAAATCACAAGTGATCTTTTTCACAACTGCAGAATGTAAAAATTTTCCTACGATGACCGATTTTATCTTCATAATATCGAAGAAAATGGCAAAACTAGTAGATTGTAGCAGTTTCTGGAACAGAGCAAAGTAGTCTTCTTGTCCGACCTTACATGGACCTTGATAGGTTCCTCGAACCAAGGTCCCAATTCTCAATCTATGAAAAGGAGAAATGAAAATTTCTAAAACCCCAGTTCGATTTTTAACTGAAATCTCTTGGAGAATACGAATAAGATTTTCAAAGTACCATAAAGCAATAAGTGGTCTTTTCCAGAACTCCAGAATGTAAAAATTTTACTACGATGGACGATTTTACCTGTATGATATCGAAGAAAATTCCAAAACTAATAAATTCTAGCAGGTTTTGGATCAGAGCAAAGTAGCCTTCTTGTCCGACCTTACATGGGTCTTGACAGGTCCCTTGACCCAAGGTCTCAATTCTCATTCTATGAAATGGAGAAATGAAAATTTCTGAAACCCCAGTTCGATTTTAAATTGAAATCTGTTGGTGAATACAAATAAGATTTTCAAAATACCATAAAATTGTCGGTATCGTTATGTTGGAGGGGCTATGCCAAAACTTGAGCCTACAGAGACAATCTTTTGCTACAGGATATCTACAGGGTTGGATTGATATATATTGCAAGTTTTCTAAGTACTTTCAGATATTTTAAACAAATCAGTGGGAAATGTGACTAAGATCATCAAAATTCCGAATTTACCGTTTAAAAAGACAATGTTCTGCCACCGAAATAGTTGGAAAACTTTACAAACAACAAATACCAATCAATTAAAAAATTTAGTTTAAATCGTCAAAATATGGGGGCTATAGTAAAAGGCGGACATAGAGGTATATTCCATTTTAAACTCTAAATACTAATATTGAAACCGAAAAGCGGGAGTCACCTTTACATGTGCGCTATAGAAAAACCTGGACCGATATCATTTATTTTCAGTACGAAGCATACCAGACACAAAGCACATTATTGTGTCAAATTTAAAAGCTCTACGTCATCTGACAGATAATCGGTCATCATTACATCGACGACAGAGCCAAATTTTGTGAAGTACCCGAATTATGGAATAATAGATTTTAAATTTTTTTCAAGTACAGTATTTTTTTATATCCCCAGTCATAGGGCTACAGGGTGAGATAAAAAAACTGCAACAAAGTCTATTTTAAATTTTATTAAACATAAGCATGTCGGAAATAGCATCAAATTTTAGAATACGTTTCGATTTGTTCGAATTGGTCACCTTTGGCACCATTTATGGCCTTCAAACGGCCAATGAAACAGTCACACGCTGTCCGAATGTTGCTCTGCGTTATTTTGGCCACTTTGGTATTTTTTAGAGCATACCTTGCTTTCCAAAATACTCCGTATACAATAGTCCAACGAATTGGTATCCGGAGATTTTGTGCGCTGGAAATTAAGTGAGGAACCTCATTTTATAACCATTATTTGGTGGCGCGTGCTGAGTGCGATGGTGCTGAGTCCTGTTGGATTGTCTTAGGTCTGCGGCCAAAATTTTTGCGTACCCAAGGCTTTAATACACCCTCCACAATATTTTCGCGATAATTTATTCGGCATTTATTCTGATGCCACGGTCGATTAATACGAGCGGAGAGCGACCTTCGGCTGTTATGGCGGCACACACCATCGTCATGGCCGGCTCTTAAGTTCTGGTGGCCAACCGAAGGTGCACATTTTCAGCTGACCTCTTTGGCAAGTAAACATGATCGTTTTGTTTGTTTACAAACTGCTGGACAACAAATGTTTTCTCATCGGAGAAACCCAAATTCGGCAGTACACCACTTTCGGCCAAGCGAAGCAACTCTTTAGCTCTTTTGAGTCTATTTTCTTTCTGTTGTGCGATGTAAGTTCTTGCACTTTTTGAAATTTCATTGGCTTTACCCCGAGCTCATTTTTCAATATTTGCTGAATGGAATATTGCGATATGTTCAGCTCACGAGCCATTTAACGGCCACTACGACGCGGGTTTCGATCAAGTCGCTTCTTTATATTTCGAACCATTTCTGCTGATGTTGCTGTTTTCATCCGTCAACTTCCTTGACATATGTCGGGCTACGCTACCAGTATCACGGTAACGAGCGATGGTACGAGACACAAAAGATTTATTCACATTTAAAGGCTGGAGTGCCCTAACGATGGCCCCTTGTGGTTTTCCAGCCAAATATAAAGAAATCATCACGCTGGAATTCCATCACGAATAACTTTTTTCCTGCATGATTCTCACCAAAATGTTTTTTTACGCTTGTAAACAATATAATAAGCTGTCACTGGAAAAATTTTAACATCTCTCGACCGAGTGGCTTAGAAATGACAGCAGTCTGAAGTTGGTTGCAGGTTTTTCATCTCACCCTGTATATTTGCGAAGCCCTTCTCGTACCTCACCCACAAAGGGTCATAATTTTCAATATTTTTATCTGTCATAACTTGCGAAACAAGTCAGCGATTCTTTACAACTTGCTGTATCAAAATATATTTCTATTAACCAGAAACCTGAGCTGCATATGGAAATTACGATTTCCCATAAAATTTGATATAAATGTTCGATTTTCTTGTAATTTTGCCTATACCAATATTTTTTGTCTGTTTTAGAGGTGGTAGGAAAATGGAATACTTCGATCGGGTATATATTGTACCTCACACACATTAAAACTTGTTTTTTATTGCTTTTTATCATATCTCATGCCAACGCTTTAATCTTCCCAATATTAAAAAGTACAAAAAGTTCCCCCTCCCTTAAACATCCCCAAAAAATTCCATGCATTTAAATTGTTGTTCAAAATGGAAGAAACCACAAAATTAGTTAATTTTTAAACGACCTCGACCTGCTTATTCTAATTTTTAGATATTTCCATGGCGATGTTACTTTTTTTTACTTCCTCTCCCACACACACACCCAAAATCTACACTTACAATTCCATTCATTATTTTATTAGAGTTCATTTCATTTTGATTCCTTTTTTTTTTTTTGGCGGTGGTCGGTCGGTCGGTCTACAAATAAAATAGCATGTAATTAACTAATCTAAGAGTTGGAGATGAAGGTAAAACCTTTCTTTGAAAACGCTTCGCACAACAACACATAGCAGCTAGCAAATACAACTATTTCTGTTGAACGAACTTAAAAATAAGTTGAGAAAACTTTGAACTTTTCACCTCTCGCAACTAAATTATCCATGAAAACACAAACAGTTGTTGGCTGCTGTTCTTTTTTTATTAGTTCGTTTCGGTTCGGCAAGGGGTAAAGAGAGATAAAATAGAAGACTAAAAAAGCGGGGGCTGGGTATTTAGAATGTAAGGGAGAATTTAAACAACAATAAAAAACACAAACACGGCCAAACACAAAACATAAATAAGAAAAGAGGTAATTAACATTTTCGATTCGATGTGTATTTTACAGAAAAAAGGCGGAGGAGGTGGTGGTGGCGGCGGCGATAAAGGAGGTGTCAAGAATAAGGGTGGCGGTGGCGATAAAGGTGGCGGCAAAAAAGGTCAAGACCAAAAGGCTGCTGGCGGCGGAGGTGGTGGCAAAAAAGGTGGCAAGAAGTAGCAGCACCAACCATCCACTCACACAAGTTGGCCAATTTGTTATGATTTCTTTGAGTTGTTAGCTTAAATTCAATATTCTTATATTAATTGTATAATTAATGCAAATTTTTTTAATGTGATTATAAAGAATGTGGTGTGATTTAGAATGAATAAAAAGTATTTTTTATAAGTGCTATTTTTTATTGGAATTTAAAAGAATTAACTATGAGGGACCAAGAAGCCTCCATTTTAGGTAAAGAACCATGATGTTTTCTACATGAGAGAAGAAAAAGTGTTTCTTATTTTGATGACTTTTTCATAATCTTGAGAAAAAAACCTTCTTGAATTTTTTTAAAGATTATTAAATTTTTGAAATCCTTTTCATAAAATTAAAAAAAATATTTTATCATCCTTTTAGATTATTTTCTTTATAAACAAGCCCTTCGGAAATAAAAAAGTTTTCTAAAAACAAACGTTTTCTTTTCACAAAAAGAAAGGTTATTTTCTTCCGACAAGATGTCAAAGTAGCCTACAAGGTATTCTTTCCCAGAAGACCAAAAGGTTTAAAGAGAAAACCAAAAGGTCTTATATACAGCGCGAAAGATGTTCTTTAATAGATGTCCAAAATAACTTAATCAGTGGAAGGAAAAAATCTTTCAACCATGAGGTCTAGAAAACACTTCATGGCGACCAGTTCTGTTGAAACATTCTCGTACAGAAGACCACTGGGTCATCTTTCATAAAAACAACAAGGTATTCTCCAATAAATACAAAAACATTTTTCCCAGAAAACAAAAAGTCCTAGTTCTGTAGATGATCAAAAAGTTGTCGAATATTCCAGAAATGCTTAGCTCCTAAAAGAGCATAAAGTGATCTACATTAGAAATAAGATGGCCTTTTGAAAACTACTCTTGACCACTCTAGAAATCCCAGAAGGTAATATTCAATAGTAGATCAGAAGAAACAGAGATTATCTCCTTATTTCATAAATGAAAAGATAAGATGTTTTCAACGAACATCCAAGAGTATTAGGTATCAGAAAGTCTTCCATAGTCTTTTATATTATTTTATAGAAATCAGAAATAATTGTCAACAGAAGAAGAGAATACATTCTAAAGAAGAAGATTTTATACGGAAGATCAAATGGTCTTCATTTACCGAAGCCTGCACATTCTTCTCCTCGAGAAAAGCTGAAGATCTCAAGATCAGAAGATCAGAAAGTCCTTTGTTTTAGAAGGCTAAAAATATAGTCTTTCCAAAGAATACCGAAAGGTATTTAAAAGATCAAAGGAATTCCTGCTTTGGAAGGCTAACAGTAACGTATCAGAAATACTTCATTCATAGTATTTGGACATTTCTTTAGAATACCAAAATATCTTCATCGTATGTCATATTTTATGCAGAAGAAAATAAGACATAAAGATTTTATAAAAAACTGATGGTCTTCTTCTACATAAGACGAGAAGGTCTTCATCTTCAATGGATCAGAGATTCGTTTGATGGCAAAGGTGAGTGTATTATAAAAAAAATAACAAGTATAAACGCAGTACCCATTACAAACATCAAATACGAAATTTGAAACAGTTCCAGTGAATAATGTTGCTGAAATCATCAAAATACCGACTATCGCGAGGTACCATTATATGGGGGCTATACGAAGACGTGGACCTGCATACGAAATTTTTTTACCATAGGTTGTAGTACCCATTAATATACCAATACGAAATTTAAAACGTTTCCGGTGAATAATGTTGCTGAAATCATCAAAATATCGAACATCGGGGGGACCGTTATATGGGGGTTATATGAAGACGTGGACCTGCATAAAGACAGTTTTGTCATATACTGTAGTACCCATTACGAACTATAATTTTGAAATAATTCCAACAAATAATGTCGCTAAAATCATGAAAATACCGAATATCGAGATGTACCGTTATATGGAGACTATTCGAAAACGTGGACCGACATGGCCCATTTCCGAACTTAACCTGCCTACTGGTAAACTATGCATGTATGCAACATTTTAGCCTTCTATCTCAATTCGTTCGAAATATAGCGTGATTACAATAGACAGACAGACGGACTTCACTAGATCGTCTTAGAATTTTACGCTGATCCAGAATATATATACTTTGAAGGGTGTATTATGAATATTTCGACGAGCTACAAACGGAATGGCAAAGCTAATATACCCTCTATAAAATGGTGGAGGGAATAAAAATATTTATAATAAAGAAAATGTCATTTGTATGGTAACATCAGTCTTCTTTTGAAGAAAATATGGTGAAGAAAGCAAACTAGAGTGTCATTTTCCTTAAATATATTCTAAGGGAAGAACTTAAGGTCTCCAAAAAAGGATCATCTCGTTTTCCTATAGAAGTTCTTTCAGAAAATCCCAAAAGGCATTTTGATGGGGTATCAAAAGTTAAAAGCTTCTCATAGATCGCACGAAATAGTCTTGCGTATATTGAGTGCCATTTAATGTATTCGTAGAAATTCCCCTACAACGGTCTCACGTTTTTATACAAAATCTAAAAAAAATCGGTATTATATAATTATATCTATATTCTTTGAATACTTGTTGTGTATAATAAAATAGCTACTAATTCTATTACAAAATGCTAAAGCGTTCTTTGAAAGAATAACATTGTCCTTTGATTACTATCGGAACCATTCCTGTGACATGGCGCCAAAGAAGGATGCTGCTCCAGATTTGCTTTTTGTATCACTTTTTCTTGTTGCAGATGATGTGGTAGTGGCCTTTCGTGTTGGTGTGGTCTATGAGAAAAGAGAAAAACACATTAATAAATCACATGAAGAAAAAAATATATAATTAAATCAACTGAATAAAAAGCACAACTAGAATTTTGAATAAAACAGAATCAAAATATCAAAGATTCTTATTAATTTTTAAATCCAATTTATATTATTAGTAGTCTGTTATCATGCGAATTTTAATTGTATTTGCTGCAGGGATTATCAAATGAAGCAAAAAGTTTCTTTATCAAAAATAATCCGATATCCAATAATGTATGCAAATTTAGGGCGCGTTTTTGTATGACGAATGCGAAAGAAAAACAATATTCCAAATCTGTTTTTCTTTTGAATAGTAAAAAAATAAAAATTTTGAATAAAACTCCAAAAAATTAAAAATAAATTAAATACTCATTTGGTATAGTGTTTTTTGTTCCCATTCACCTTCGTTTCGCAATACATAAACAGACCCTTAATTTTAAATTTTGCATATGAAAGAAGGATTCTTAAGATTTAGAGGCTGTGTTAAATATTTTAAACTATAATTATTCAAAGCCAAACCAAAAACTTGAACAAAACTATCATTAAATCGCATGCATAATAACAATATTTACTTATAAAAAACTCTTCTCCCAAGTAAGTAAACCATAACATTGTGTTGAAAATATAAAAAACACATAATTTATAATTCATATAAAATATCCTTAAAAAAGAAGTTGTGGAATAGAAAATTAAAAATTTCATCTCTGGAAGAAAAAAAAATATTCTTCCTTACCTTTTCACTTTCTGAACTCATCAAGACGGCCTTTTTGTTTTCCACAGCAGTTGTAACATGGGTATTTGTAACCACAGGCAGTAGGGGGAACCACAATGTTGTGGCTCCACTCGAACACAAACTCAAAACATTTGGATCCTTTTCTGGTACAACAGCCGAAGTACCAGAAATATTGCTTGCATTTGTCGTGGTCGTCGTTGTTAATACACCCAGTATACAATTGTAACGTGTAACAGCCCTCTTTACATTTGCCATCAATTGTGTGGATAATAGTTCAAAATCAAAAGGATCAATTACATCTCTATAGGCATCTTGTATCGATGAGAATTGATTCTTTTGTTCGCGATTTAAATCAAAGGAATTTTGCAGAAATTTCAAATCGAAATATAATTGCAATGCAATATTCTGCCCCATTGCAGTCGTGCTATTATTTGACTTTTCAATAAGATTTTTATAATGCTGTAGCAGCTGCTCCAATAGCATTTTCTTTAATGTTAGCAGCACTTTGTTGGGTAAAGTTTCAGGCACAATCTTCTTCAATGCAGTAATCAGTGTGTGGAAATACGATTGCAAGGATATACGTGGTTGTGTCGGCACACGGAATGATGTCTGGGTGGGCATATCCTGTTCATCTTTTTGCTCCAAGGTAATAATTTCCCAATGCTAGAAATAAAACATGAAACACATCATGAATTTCGTATTCCAAATTTCATACTCACCGCAAAATCTTCCAGGATAACAATATTGGAGTTGACGTCCATTAAATAACGATCACAGTGATATTCTTCCAGTATACCGCGAACAAGACATAGCCACAACTGGAATACTTCGTCTTCGATTAAACCACAAATCCTTTGCCAATAATCTTGTGATGCTCCCGAGATCGTGGAAGTTGTTCCCCCTCCTCCCAATTGTTGACGCCAAGAGCTTGAATGGCAAAAACATTTCTTTAAATGAGGGCAAAGCTCAATTAGGGAACAACAACAACGTATGACAAATAGCAACGCCTCCCGTTGAGCGGAGTTCAATCTCAGCTCCTTTGTTTTTGTAATAAATTCGGTAATTTGCCGTTGAGCCGTATCTCTCAGGAAATCAACCAATTCCTGTTTATCTTCTTTCTTTGTTGTGGGCTCCTCCAATAAAACATTCATTTCCTGGATAATTGACGAAAGATCGCCATCAAATTGGGTTGCCATTTGTAGAATATGATCGTCATATCCTTTCGATTTCATTAATAATTTCTTGGTTTTCTTATCATCGGACAGAGCTTGATCTAAACTATTTGGTAAATCTGAGCTGAACTCTTGCCAGAGATTATAGTTTGTTTTGTTTAGCAATCCCTCTTGTTGTATCGTTTTTTCAAGTGTGTTAAATATTGTATTCACAGTTTTGGTCCAACTATCATTAATGATATTACGTATACGCTGATTAATCAATGGTACATAACGTAACTCATAAAAGTCCAGGGAATGTGTTAGGTTATATTGCTTGGCTAGGGCAGATAAATTCAATTGCTTTCGTAATGCGTTCGCTTCGGTTTTGATTTCTTGTATTGTGTTCATATTCAATACAAAATCAAAGAGTCCTTTCAACTGTTTATCGGCTATGCGTTGTGTATCGGCAAGAAAAGTTTCCACAGCTTGAGCAACTGCTTCATTTTTTAAGGTTATTGTTTCAAATTTGGGTTTAAAATTTGTAATGATGTCTGGCAACAAATAAGCGAACTGGACATCATCGCTGTCCATGCGGGCTATGGTAGGAGGAGCACTCGGATCCGAATGTTCATTTAGTTTCTTAAATAATAAACCATTCTCTGAAACATAAAATAATAAAATTACTATATTCCAAAAAGTTCAATTTGTCCATCCTACCCATAAAACATTTGGAGACCATATCCACACTTTCATTGAGCACCCTTAGGCTAACAAGTATACGTTCCTTGACTCTACCCCCCTCTGCAGTAAGGCAATTAAGAAAAGCCGAGGAGCGTAAATTAAGAAAAACCTTCAAAGCACTTTCCAATGAACAACGATCCAACTGCAGCAGTGCCAATAGACAATCGGCCGTTAGTTCTGGTGCCAGATTTTCCCGCTCCAAAGCAACCATAATTTGTTGTTTTATTGTCATGTGAAATGGTTTTAAAATTTCCCACTGTTTCTTGGCCACCGGCAATTTCTGCATTATTTGGTTTCCCGAATCCAACTGTAAGCCCGTGCTAATGTGTCGGCTAAATATAAACAACTCCGTGGCTGCATAATAATGTTCGCGATCGATTTGTGACCAAATCATTTCAGGCAATGCTGTTAGCAACTTAATCTGTACCATGGTACTGAAATAGTTATTCAATTGTTTATTGGCATTCCTTGTCTTCAATTCACCGGCACTATCCGATTCTGTCTTGAAGCCCAGCAATTGTTGTTCATTGAGATTCTTACAATTCACACTTATGCTATCGACTTGTTCTATCAGAGCTTTCGTAGAATCCTGCATAGAGGTAATGGTATCGGCTGCTTTCAACAAGTCTCGGTAACGTTCCCTAGAAATAAGAATTATATCAATGAATGTATTCCCCTTGGCAGATAAGAGCCCTTGATGTCACTCACCCAACCATGGTCCTCAGCTCCTCCCTTTTATTTTCAACAACCTCTTGGATTTTCTTGTGTATTGCATCAATCTCGCCAACACTGTGTTGCTCAAACAGCGTATCAACATTTAAATTTAATAGATTTAAGGTAGCCATTGTTAAATATTTTAAATTCTATTATTTTCTCGCAAATATTTATTTTTCGACTGCTTGCGTTGCAAGGCAAATTCCAAAGCCCCCAATCGGAAAACACAACGCCGTTGTAAATTGAATAATTGATAAAGCTCAAAATCAAAACAAAAACACCGATTGAGTGTAAGAACAAGGTTTCTTAAAATCGAAACATCCCTGTAGGGTTCTAGAAACCTAGTTTCGCCAAGGAAGCAGACTTTGCAGTGATGAAAAACGTCCTATCACAATTGTTGTGTTGACCCTTTTACTGTAAATTTAATAAAAGCAAGAACTGCAAAATTCGCTTTGAGAGAACTGCTTTACCCAGATTATGTGGAATGACAAAACTTAATGGTAGTCCTTCAAAGTCTTACTAATTTTTGTATAGTGGGGATGGAGTGGAGTGGAGTTCTTCAAGTAAAATATAATAAAATATAGTTAAGCATTGGATTTCATTGCATTATTTTGTATTTTGCAGATATAGTAGTAGATATTTTTGTAGATATTTTTGCATTGTTATCTATTGATCTGTTCCAGGACTGCAAAAACTTAAAAGTTTCTACTACGATAACGTATTTTTCCTTTATAATATCGAAAAAAAATGGAAAAAAATGCTTGGCGTTTCTGGAGCAGACCATGGACAGACCATGGTAAAATTAAGAATGTAAAGTCTTTTCAAATAAGCATTCCCATCTCTGCATTTTCTGTTATTTACCTTGTCACATTTCACTACATTAAAACAAGTTCCCATCTCTGATTTTTGTATGTACAATGGATTTATAAATACAAGTTTTGACAACGAGATGTTGTCAAATGAATATTTTTTAAAAAATTGTAAACATATTATTGCATGGCTTCCCCTCCTTGATTTTACTATGGAACAGACCATATATTTTCAAAAAATGTTTAATTTAATTCCATATCTATTAACGCAAGGAGAACAGCATATTTTTTGTAATATTAAAATTAAAGCCGAGAAGACGGTTATAGGTAGATGCATCGATAGATGAATATAGGTAGATGCATCAACGCTTGGGAACATTGATCTGTCAAAATTGTTAAAATGTTTTTCAGAAAAAAGTAGATTTTTATACGTTTTCTTATACGACACAAATTGTAGGTTGTTATGATATGCATTTTCCAACAATTTTTCATTCAACATTTTAATTTCAAAGTCGGTTTGACAGTTCATTGTCCCAGTAGCTGCGTCGATGCGTCTACCTGTATTTTTCTACCATGATACTTCACACACCTACATCTTAATTACGCATTACAGGCAATTTTTTCTGTGTAAACGCCAGATAAACGTTAATTTAATCAATTTTTGCCCCCATAGCAATACACAGTTTAAAAACAACTGGAAAACACACAAATTGGATTAATAAGCCAAGTAATGAATAATGGAAGTAGTTCAACGAAAGAGTTGAACGTTGAACCCATCGTTCTGTTTCGTGAATAGTTTTGCACTGAACAACTTTGCCCCGGAACAAACAACAACTCTCGCAGAGTTTGTGTTTGTTGCTCAAAGGTGTTAAATGTTATTGGTGTGTTGTGGAAGCTAGTTGATTGTTGATGAATAAAATCAAATACGTAGAGCTGTTTTTATGATAAGATAATAGGGGCGATATAAAGTATGAAATTTGTGTCACTGCTATGTTCGATCCATAAACAAATAATTCCAATTAATATCGTTTTTTTTCTATACCATTGCGCGGGTGTGTTCGTTGTATTTGTAGCAGAGCAGCAAAATGGATCACGAATTCCAGATGAGTGTGACCAAAGCCTTGCACCCCTCGGAGCAGCCATTAAAAATGAAACATGCCCGTTCGGTGATTATTGCAACACATCGCTATAAAGGTGCAAAAATGTTCTGGAACATTGTTACGCGACAGCCGTTGATGGAGCACCGTTTCACTGCTTGGAAATTTTGTCATGTACTGCATAAAGTGTTGCGAGAGGGTCATGAGAATTGCATACGCCATTCGCAAGTGCATAAAACTCTAATATTAGAGGTGGGCAAGTTGTGGGGCCATTTGCATGATGGCGTGGGCAAATGCATTGAGAGCTACACCCAATTGTTGGTGAACAAATTGGACTTCCATCAGAAGAATTTGGGCATACCAGGGGCAATTACCATGGATTTCAATGATATACGAAAAATCACAGGGGATGATTTGAATAATTATTTTCAATTGTGTGTTGAAATATTTGATTATTTGGATTGTATAATTGCCCTGCAGGCGGTTATATTCCAGGCACTGAACACTCATCGCCTGTCATCGATGACTCCCCAGGGCCAGTGTCGTTTGGCGCCACTCGTTACCATGATACAAGATTCAAATCCCCTATATGATTTGTGTGTTCGTGTATTGTTTCGTTTGCACGATGGCATACCCCATGACATATTGGCGGGTCATCGTACACGTTTTAATGAATTATTTGTTAAATTAAAATATTTTTATGAAAATGTACGACCATTGCAATACTTTTCGGATATCATACAATTACCCCACCTACCCGATGCAGCACCGAATTTCTCTTCGGTGCATGATGTGGGTAATTACATTGCACCCGTCATGCATGTTTACCAGGAGGAGGAATTGCCTACAGTTGAGGAGAGTTTATTGGACTTGTCAAATTCAAGTGAAAATAATGCCTCGCCTGAACAACAGCCACCGACACCGGCTGAAGAGCAGATTGATGAGGCCCAAATCATGATTGCCAATTTGCAAGAAGAGTTAAGAGTGCGACAAGTGCATATTGATCAACTGGTTAATATTACCAGGGAAATGTCTAATCTTCAGGTACGCAATGAGGCCTTGGAGGCAGAGGTTAATTTGACCAAGGAAATGTTGAGAAACACCAATCAAATCAAAGAAAATTTGGAGCAAAAGCTCAAGGAAATGGAAGAACTGGAGGTAGAGGTGAAAGTGGGAGATGACAAGTGTAAGCAGGTGGAGGAGAAATTTGATAAGATAAAAACCATGTATGCCAAATTAAGAGAAGAGCATATACAACTATTAAGGGTCCGAAATGATGATTCCAAACAGTTGATGGCCGAACGCAAGAAAAATGAAGACTTACAAACTGAGATTCTAGCCCTTAAGGCCAAAGAGGAAGACTTCAGCAAAGCTGAGGAGAAAAATGTGGTATTGAATGAAAAAATTAAGGAACACGAGGAGACACTTAGCAAAAAGGAAATAAGATTAAAGGAACTGGAACAGCAGCTTAGTGAATCTAAGGCATTATTCGAAAAACATGATGTCGATAAAAGTGCCAGGATAAGTGAATATGAAAATCAAATAATGGAACAAAAAATGGAATTGAAAAAATTCAAAGAAAACTATGACTTGGAGGTACAAACGAAGCAGCATGAAATGCAAGAATTGATGGAAATCAAAACACAACATGAAACTAATTTACAGGAGTTGCAACAACAACTCGAGGCTACCACAAAGGATAAGGAGAATTTAAGCCTTAAATTGCAGGAGATTGGAAAGGAGATGTTGCAAAAGATCCAAACACATGAAAATGAAATGCAAATGAAGGCGACTGAAGTTGATCAACTGCAGGCCACGCAAGCCCAACAAAGTGAGACCATAAAGAGTCTAGAAGACAAACAACAAGAGTTGATACAAATTAAAACACAACATGAAAATCACTTACAGGAATTACAACAACAATTGGAAATCGCCGCAAAGGATAAGGAGAATTTAAGCCATAAATTGCAGGAGTTGGAAAAAGAAATTTTGCAAAAAACCGAAAAACACGAAAGTGAAATTAAATTGAAAACGGTTATGGTAGATCAGCTGCAGGCAACACAAAGCGAACAAAGTGAGACCATTAAGAGCTTGCAGGATAAACTACAAGAAAGTACAGCCACCAATGAAAAGTTTAGCCAAAATCTTGTCAATATGAACGAGCAAATCAACAATATTTTCGGTCAATTGGAAACAGCCAAAAAGGAAATTGTGGGCCATCAAATCAAGGAAACTAACACACGTAATATGATGGACAATTTGGTATCCTCGTTAAATAAATTACTTGCAAATAATGTTCAAAAAGATTTCAATTTTAAAAATCTCGAAATGACCTCTGTACCGCAGGCGTGTGAAGTAAATGTTCAGCACATCCAAAATCTATTACACAAAATGCCACAAGACTATAAATCCCTACAAGAAACTCAAGGTCAAAACCTTGGTCCATTTTTGTCTTCGTATTTAGAGTTGAGTCAGCATTTAAAAATATTCCATGAGCATATCATGTTGATTCTCAGTAATACCACCGATCTGAATAAGGCCGAAGAGTTGCGGTTACTTTGCAACGATTTGCGTCAGTCTGTTGTGAATTTGTATCAGGGCATTGAACAAAGTTCGGAGGTAGCAGTAATTGAAAATATTTCCCTTAAAGAGATTAAACCCAAATTGAATGCCATCCAAACGGTGGTCACTTCCTTGCAAAATTCCTTCAGTGAAAGCCTTAATGTGGGCGATATGCTGCAGCAGGAACTCAAACAAATGGATAACATTATTGAGGAGGCAACCAAGGAAATTATGGATCTACTGCTGAATACCAAATCCCAACATGAGGGCATTAAACTAGAGGTCAATGAGAAAATTTTGGATTCATGTACCAATCTCATGCAATGCATTGTGGTGTTGATACAACGTTCTCGGGAATTGCAAAATGAAATTGTGTCCACCCAAAAGGGATCTTCCACAGCCAAGGAGTTTTACAAACGTAATAGTCAATGGACTGAGGGTCTGATTTCAGCCTCCAAAAGTATTGCCAAGGGCGCCAAATATCTGGTGGATGCTGCCAACAAAACCATTGGTTCCGATTCAGCTGAATGTTTTGAGCTGATTGTGGCTGCCCAAGATATTGCCGCCAGTACAGCTCAATTGGTCATTGCCAGCAAGGTTAAGGCACGAAATGATAGCCACAAACTTTCTAATCTAACTAAGGCTTCGCGTGATGTCTCAATGGCCACGGGTCAGGTAGTGGCCACAGTGCGTGACGGCAATAGCAAATTGGAATATAAAAATGAAATAGATATATCCAAATTGACACCCTCCCAAAAGAAAACCATGGAAATGGAAATGCAAATCAAGGTTCTGCAATTGGAGCATTCACTGCAAAGTGAGCAACAAAAATTAATGTCATTCCGCAAGGCATTCTATCAAAGTGCAGATGAGGATTAAGAAATTAAATTGACAGTATCCAAAATTCATTCCTTTATTCGACTTAAATTTATGAACAACATATAATATATTTTTGTACAATTTATTTTTTTTATTAAAAAACATTTTACATTTATCCAACTATATACAAATCATGACAATATATTTAAAACATTCAAAATGTCTTAAATCTATAATAATCTATTACTAACACCCAAAATAACTGACTACTTATATCAAAAACGTAAACAAAACCTCCCCACTTAATAATAATTACTAACATTTTAGTTTTTTTTGTAGATATATATAATACATATTTACATATATAGAAAATAAATATGTATGTAAATTGTTGACACCAAAACAAAAACGGAAATCTGCCAGTTAAATTAACCGACAACCAAAATTGGAGCTAATCTACCGCATACATTCTATCTTTACTGATAGTAGTATTAAGAGAAGAAAACGACAAAAATAAACATAAAAACCAAAAATTCCCCTAAATTGTTTAAAACACCCACACAAACATGCGCCCGCGTACTTTGTGTTGTTATAAATTGTATTTATATATAGAAAAGAATAAATTGTAATATTTTTTTATGATTACTATTATTATTGTATATTGTATTATTACGTTATATATATTTTTTAAACTATGTTTAAGAAATAACAATCAATCGTTGTTAATGACATACCTACAATTTCAGCGAGTGTTGACTAATAACAAATATATGCGACAAATACATAGATAGATATACATTACGTGCATTGTATTTTACTTAAACTGGTTTGGAATCTCAACTTGAAATGGTCTTACTCAAAGAAGCGATACATAAATATTTGTTTTGAATTATTTACTTACTTAATTACCTATCACAGTTCAGAGTAATACATTCTTGCCATTCCGTTGATTTATTTTAAATGTCTATGCGTTAGTTTCAACAAGTTAAAAAGTATCAGTCAGTTTGCCGACAGATATAGAGGGTGAGATAAAAAACTGCAACAAATTCAAAAGTCATAAATTTTACATTTTTTTTAATTTTATTAAATGAAAGCTTAAAATGTCGGAAATATCATCAAATTTTAGAATAAGTTTAGATTTGTTTGAATTGGTCACCTTTGGCATGAATTATGGCCTTTAAACGACCGATGAAACAGTCACACGCTGCCCAATGTTGCTTTGCGGTATTTTGGCCCATTCCCGGCGAAGCGCTTGCTTGAGGTGATCGACACTTTGGTATTTTTGAGTGCCAACGGATTGGTATCCGGAGATGGTGGCAATTGTACGTTGGAAATGAAACGAGGAACCTCATTTTGTAACCATTCTTGGGTGGAGCGTGCTCAGTCCTGTTGGAATGTTCAAGGTGTGCGACCAAAATGTTTGTTTGCAAGGCTTTAATACACCGTCCAGAATATTTTCGCGATAATATTCAGCATTTATTCTGATGCCATGGTCGATTAATTGATACAAGCGGAGAGCGACCATCGGCTGTTATGGCGGCCCACACCATCACCATGGCTGGCTGGTGATGGTAACTAAAATTTTATGAGTTACACGTATTCGAAATATTGACCCTTTGTGGGAAAGATACCAGAAGAAGTGGTCCGATTAGCCCCACATAGTTTATATTGCTGGAAGTATAGCATTGGTCGAAGTTAAAAGAAGAATCGAAATTTTAAAATTTTAACTTTTTGTGGGGGAGGTAACATAAGAAGTGGGCAGATTTTGTAAATGTTCGCACCTGAGCTTCTAAATATTAGGATTTGAAAATTTTGGCCAAAATCGGATGAACATTTCCCTCCTTATGAGGAAATATATTTTCTTTGAAAATGTAAACCTTTGGGGGTGACAGATACCAGAAGAAGTGGACCGATGTATTTCATCTTCACAGCAGATCTTGTGTTGGCAGGAATAATGGGATGTGTGAAATATGAAGAATTCTATGATCGTTTTGGTTATTCAAAACTTTGAGCCTTTGTGGGGGAGGTACCAAGAGGAATGGTCCGATCGCTACCATCGTTATAACAGATCTAGTGTTGATAGAAATATTGAGATATGCCAAGTCTGAATGGAATCGGATGTTAATTTCGAGTTTCACGAGCTTCATGGATATTTAATATTTTGACCCTTGTGAGACAGATCGGTCCACTCCTGACCGATATATTCCGTGGGTTAATAAAAATATTGTGATGTGTGTAATTTGAGTTAAGAGTTAAAATTATTCAACATTTTGACCCTTTGTGGGGGGGGGGTTCATAATGAAGTGGACCGACATTGTCCATTTTCGCACCTGACCTAGCACTGATGCAAATATTAGGATTTGCAAAGTTGGAGCAAAATTTGATTACCCTTTCGTTGGCGTGTTTGGAACAGTGTTGGCTTGTTTTTTTTTTTTTTGAAAGTTTCAACCTCTTGTGGGCGAGGTACCAGATGGAGTTGACCGATATTGTCCATCTCCCAACTCGATCTAAGTTTGATAATAATATTACGATGTACCAAGTTTGGACGAAATCGGATAATCCCTACGAGAGTTTTCGTGCGCAACATCCATACAGACGGACACCGCAAGATCGACTCAAAAAGTTCTTTGCATGTTTTAAAAATTAATTCGGCACAGTAAGGCATTTGGGCATAGTTGTATTTTTCCATTTTTTTCGAAGTTAACTTCTTTTTCAGGTTGTGGGATGATTCCAATCATGTTATATGTGTTATCCTATGGTACAATAAGGAGGTAGAACAGCTTTGTAAAACTACAGAAATACCGCCTTGAGGCTATGTCCGCTTCCTGTCAAAATTATTCTGGAAATATTCTTTTATTTTATTTTTTTATATTGTTACTCTATTTCAAAATAAAGTTTTAAATTAACAGCGCGAAAAATGAATGAAATATCCTTTTTATTGTACCATATTGTGTATTAAAATTTAAAAATATGTTGAAAATTCCCAAAATGTATAAATTCTTTACGACATAGTTGTTCTCATGTGTAAACATGCCATAACAAACTGTTACAAAGCAAATACAACCCTGCTCTGGCGCCTATTGTGAATGGTCACCACACAAACAGATGTTTACAGCCTACGGCTTGTCTTCGTTTGCTTCTCAATAATCAAATTGAAAATAAAATAATTAAAAAAAATATTAAAAAACTCAATCCAATTGAACGTAAAACATGACATTAGTTTTAAAAGTAAATTGTCGGGCCTGTAATCGAGAATGTGGCGATTACAAACACCTGATGGATGAGACGCTAATCGACGATGAGGCCACAACGCTTGCTGCTCTGCTGAATTATTGCACCACATTGGATTGTTTCGATGGTAATGAAGACTTCTCCTTGCCCGAGCACATATGCAATAGCTGTGTGGAACATTTACTGCAATCGTACCTGTTCAAGGAAATGGTTCTACAAAATGACCGCGACTTGCGGGAACGCATTAAAAGGGAAATGGAAGAATCACAATCCAATCTGGAAATTGATCACGTAGTACAGGAGGGCGATGATGCTGGCAGTGAGGTGGCCAACGATATGAAAGAGTGCGACTTGGTGGAACAGGAAATCGATGTGGGCGAGGCAGAAGAGGAGAATCTTAAGGGGATTCCAGCAGAAAACAGAGTTGTGGAAAAGCAAAAAACAACAACGAAAAAAGAAGCCAAGATAGAACCAAAAGCCAAGAAGGCCAAATTGGATGTGGTGGATGAGCCCAAAAAAGAAGACTTAGAGGATGATATTGATGAATATGAAATGGTTGAATGGTTGGAAATAGACGAAGAAAGTTCAACAACTAACGAGGGGCGACCTGAGTCGTCACATCAGGAAGTGGAAGAGCAGCATTTTATAAGGATCGAGGAGAATGGTGGTGAGGATCAAGAATTCTTGGCTGCAGAAGACGAAGTGGAACAGTTTGAAAGCAATGAATCAATAGATGATAGTAAAGATTATGAGAAGGAAAATGGCATTAATCAGCAATCCGAGAAAGAAACAGAAGAGGATGAAGTAAAGAAAATACCCAGAAAGAAATTTGTTAAGGTAAGGTTGGATCATATAGCATTATTAGGATGTACTAAATTCCCTCTCATTTCAGACTGGTGGCTTGACTGAAGAAGACCTGAAGTGTCAATATTGTGGCAAACAATTCGATAAAATGTGTCGTCTGCGTGAACACACCTATGTCCATACGGGTGAAAAGCCTCATGTATGTCAAATATGCGGTAAAAGATCTCGTACCAAAACCCATTACAATGTCCACATGTTAACACACAGTGAAGAGAAGAAATATCGTTGCGACATCTGTGGCCAACATTATCGTACCTCGACTAGTTTAAGAGTTCATGAACGTAAACATTCAGATATACGTCCCTACGCTTGTCCCATCTGCGATAAATCTTTTCACACGGCAGAACAAAAGAAATTGCACGTTATGATCCACACGGGAGAAAGGCCATACAAATGTGATATGTGCGATAAAGCTTACAGAGAAAATCATTCCTTGAAGCAACATATGCTCACACATGGTGACAAGAAACCCTTCCAATGTGATGTGTGTGGCAAGGGTTTGACGCAAATGTCAGGTTATAGACGGCACATGCTTTTGCACACGAACGAGTATCCATATAGCTGTGATATATGTGGACGACCGTTTAGAATCTCCAGCAATTTGGTGGCCCATAAACGGTTACATTTTGATACGTTACCCTACCAATGTACAGTCTGTTCAAAGGGTTTCAATAATTCATCACGCCTAAAGAAACATATGCTCCAGCATGAGAAGGACTCGACCAAAGAATCGTTTAAGCCACGTAAACAACGTCAGGAACCAATTGTTGTCGATACGAAAATGTGCAAGTCAAGAGTAGTTGAAATTATTTAAAAATACCCTACAGTCAACGTTTATAGCTATGCCGCTATTTGTTTGCAATTATTTGGATATTTTAAGTTCTCTTTTTTCTCTTTCTTATTTAATATTAATTCTTATTTTCTTTTCACACATTATGTACGTAATATATTGTTATATTTGCAAGTAAGAATTACTGTATGTCCGAATAGATTTTAATGCAAATTGTTTTATAAGTCACAGCTTATAAGAATATTTTATTTTATCCATAATGTTAAATAAGAATTTTATACCTACTTTCTCTAGTGAATAATTGAAGAAAACTCGTGTGACAGAAATAAATAAATATTTTTGTAGAAAACAAGTAAAATGTTTGTAATAAGCTTAGAATTGATATGATGTTATTGAATTGTGTATATGTATAATACAATTGCATTAAGCATTATTACTATTTTAACTTTACCATAAAATCACAAATATGGAATTCGAAAAAGATAGTCCCAATTCCTGAGAGCAGAAAAGGCAGATAGAAAAGATAAAAAAAAACGGTCATCGCCACATTTTGGGTGAACTGAACTGATAGGGCGGATGATTACAGCTTAATTGTAAGGAGCACATGGGCATACAACATCATTCTGTATGCGATTTGCAGTCAAGGTTCATCCTCCTGAGTACCTCCAAAATGTCAAAGCTTTGAATGCTATCCAATTTTCAATAGTAGAAGCCATCCACCTAACTATCGCATTATACAGTGTAGAAAAAACCACCAAAAACAAACGACGGCAATGAAAGAATTCGAAAAGGATTGACAGTGTTTCTATAAAAACATTGATAATACAATTACAATTGAGTTCCAAAATGGACTAAACATTTCCACAAAGTCTCCAATACACATGTTGTGGTTATAGCAGCAACATAGGTAAAGTATTTTGCTTCAACATCCTGATTTAAGTAATCAGCTACCCTAATAGGCTATAGCCAAAGATTTTCTAAAATGAATTCGGTAGGCTCTGGTTCATGGCCCTGCGTCGTAGTGTGCGGGTCTGAATCAAACGGACAGACGTTTCTCACCTCTACATCATCGTGATCGTTGTAGTCGTGTCAAAGCTTCGTCTCCTCATGTAAATGGTTCACTGTTGCAATTCTTGGGCGGCATTCTGACAGCTCTGAATCCATTGCACTAGTGATGGCAGACCGATCTATGATGGGTCAACAATGTATCGTGATCCGCGTCTCAAGTAATGTCGACTGCCTCCTTGAGGACCTTGTTCCCACTATTTATCGCAGATGATCTTAAAAATGTTTTCGAATATGACTCCTATAATCTTGGGGTAGTTAGTGGCCGAAAGTATGTCCTCTTCACCTGCTCATACAGCTGTCTTTTCGTATGCTCAAAGTGTGGGACAATGATTTTGTAGTGGATATTTTCATATTTCTCGTGTGGAAGAAGGCGGTAAACTTCGCGAAATAGGCAATCTGACACATATGTCGTCGACGACAACGATATGTTCTACGACACAGTTCAATTATATGGTTGCCGACATCGGTACATATCATTTCCCCAGTTTCCAACTTCCACACACCAAGTACTTTTGGCTAGCGACTTGAGGGCCTTTTTTCTACAATTTATCGCAGATAATTGTAGTTCGCAAGGACGAATTAAAAATGTTTGTGATCCCTAAAATCTTGGGATAGTTTGTGGTCGAAAGTGTGTACTTTTCACATGATAGGTTTTTTGTGTTTTCGTATCCTTAGTCCATGTGGCACAGAGTGAGGCACATATGTCATGTTCTACGACACAGGTCATTTATTTTGTCGCAAACCTCGGTTCATGCCATTTCCCCAACTTTCAACTTCCAATACTTCCTGATTCACAAAAATCAATGTATCGTAAATTAACAAAAAGTTTTAAATTTAAATAAATTAAACTTCTTCTGGTAGCTAATCAAAAATTAATCACAAATTTTTACAGTTCTCATGTTTTCTCTGTGTCAGCAGTTTCTCAATTTTGTTAGGCGTTCTTCTCCTTAAACGTATTATTGCTGTTCCTGAATTTCGGCTTCATTTCCATTTAAATCCGGTTGTCCAATTTCTCCATTACTTGGCCTTTCATTCGCTTGCAATATTTCTGATTGATTCGCATCCTGTGGTGGCTCATTTTGTTTTTCCTCATGTAAAGTTTTCTGCTCAGGTTCTTTGGATTCATTAGGTGGAGTTTTAAGAGAAGTTCTTGATTCTGGTTCACAGACATCTTGGAAAACATACTCTTCAGTTGGAGCATCATCCTTGGGAATCTAGAAAAAATTATCACACAAAAGTATGAGTTGAAATTAGAACCGAATACATATACCTATATGGAAGTGAAATTGAACCACGTAGTGCTGGGAGAATCAAAAGTTATGGATATGATGTTCTCCATTTAAACCCCCCATTCAAGACTACATACTTACATTTTGCTGAATACGATGACGAAAGAATCGTTGAATCTTGCGAGCAGCCTCTTCTTGTTCTATTAAATCTAGGTTCTGGTTAGAGGGTTCCTAATCAAAATTGATGATATTGAAATATGAAGAAAATTGAAATCTGAAAATACCTTGGCAGGACCATCAGCATCCTTTGGTAAGAACATTGAACGTCTTACTAAGAAACCACGGAAATTCGACTAAGTGAGGAAAGGTAAATGATTTATTAATTGTTTTAATTTGAAATATTTTTAATTTGCCTGTATTTTCAGAGCAGCCTCCTGGCGTTTTTGTTCCTCCACACGTTTGATTTCACGTTCACGGAAATATTGATATAGAGCCTCAGTGCCTTCAAAATTCTGAAAGAAAGAAATGGGAAAATATTTAGAAAAGTGGATACTTTAAAATAAAAATTGTTATTTTGTCGATGGAGTCGAAATTCATTGAGGCAGAGCATTCAGTGACTCAGGAGCTTGTAAAGGTTTAAGTTATTCTGTGGAATTTGAATTCTATCCCCATTCAGAATACCTTCAGCAATTTTAGAACATCTTGAAAGGTATACGTTGAAGATTACACTGCTTAAAATTCGATAGGGTAATGACATATTTCCTTTATTTTAATCTTCATAAGGGAAATATGTCATTGCCCTATCGAATTTTAAGCAGTGTAATCGTCAAGGCTAAAAATACTTCAAAATTTCGGAGGAGAGACTTCAAAGGGTATTTTATTTGGATAAATTATAGGCCATTACAGGCAAATTTTATTCTTATAAAGAATTCTGAATTTGGTCGACAAAATCTTAAATTTTCCAAATATTCAAATTTCACAGCAGATCTCATATCAATTAGACTGTGGAACAAACTCAAATATATTTCCAAAATTACAGGAAGAATCTATCAGATTTTGAGAATAGTACTAAAGATAGAAAATCCGTGTTTTGTGTATTGAAAGTTTGCGTCGCAAATTAATCTATATATAGGTTCGAATTTCGAATTTTCAGATAGATACTACAGCATATGTCAGATAATTGTCACGTCTTCGTATATCCCTCATATTCGGTATTTTGATGATTTTAGCGAAATTATTCACCGGAATTGTTTCAAATTTGGTATTTGAAGTTCGTAACGGTTACTACAGTCTATGAAAGAAAATTGTGTGTACCGGTCCACGTTTTGGTATAGCGCCATATATAACGGTGCCTCCCGATGTTCGGTATTTTGATGATTTTAGCGACATTATTCACCGGAATTGTTTTAAATTTGGTGTTTCACGTTCGTAATGAATACTACAGCCTAAGACAGAAAATTGTCTGTGCAGGTCCAGGTCTTCGTATAGGCCCCATATAAAGGTACCTCCCGATATTCGGCATTTTGATGATTTTAGCGACATTATTCACCGGAATTTTTTCAAATTTGGTATTTAAAGTTCGGAATCGTTACTACAGCCTATGACAAAAAAAATACTAATGCAGCACCACGTTTTGTATAGCTTTCATATAAACGTTTTCATTCGAGCGGTATATTTCGGAGGATTTTTTTTGAAAATTTTTAAGACCGGCCGAACATAGCTGCCTTTTTAGTTGTTTCTGCTGCAATTGACAGCAAATTATTTATAAATTACACTATGCAGCAGCCAATGTGGAAAATCCAAGAGAATTTGAAAGTTTTCTGTTTGTGGATCGAAACTTCAAAAGGGTTTTTGGTTCTCAGGCAAACCCTTTATTAAGTCTTTTATATAATTCAACCATATACAAAGGATTCCAAATATTTTTTGATTTATATCTCCAAGGATTGTATATGAAGCTATGAAATTTGATATAAACCTTTAATGATGCCAAGTTGCTTATGTACCCACACCTTAGGAAATGTTAGCCTAATTTTTATATTAGTCCCTAGATGTATATTCGGATTTCAAGTATTCTTTTAAGTTTTAGTCATATTTTCCACATAATTTCGTCAAATTCTAATATTGATATTTTGACTTCTTACTAAGTAAAAACCTTCCTTACATTTCCACGTTTTGTTATAGCCCTCATAATCCCCCCTATTGTCAACCCAATCCCACTGTCTTACCTCATGTGCCGACATATAGGCATCCACAAATTTCTGATATGCCGTTTCAATGACAGGCCTTGATATCTTCAACTCCTCTTCGGAAAATTTACATTTCTTGATCAATTCATCCAACATATCCACTTCGTTGAATTTAATTATTTCAACATCTTGACCAATTTCACAGCGTCGTTGGGCCAGGAAACGTTTGAAACATTCCTCCATGGCTGCGCACATTTTCTCCGCCTTTGTGGGTTGAATGTCACAGATACACATGTCGGCCACGATTTCATCGACTATGCGCAGGGCACGATCTATGGCCATTTTGGCCACTAAAAATAAAACTCAAAATTTTGAAGGGGAATTAGGGTTTTAAATTGGAGAGAAACTTACTTCGGGCCTTTTCCCGTGCCACTATCAACGAATGCAAATAATCGATAATGAATTGACAAAGGCATTCCGTGGTTGGTTGACATCTGAGAACTTCACGCGTTATGTCGGACAGCAATTCCGGTAGCCCAGCGGGTACATTTATCGTTTGGGAACGTATTTTTCCATGTTGTATCAAATAGGCCATTGTGAAAAATTCTTTTTTGTTGTGGAATATTGAAGGGAATTTTATTGAAATGGAAATTGACGTGCTTTGACACGTGACAAAAATCCAAAGGGTAGACTGGAAAATTGTATATGATAATTGAATTTTGAAAAGAACGATTTTAGCATTTGGAAAAATGTTGTTAAAAAATACACATTGGTCCTTGAAAGAATATTTTAAAAATCCAAGTCATTGAAAAATTGTTCTTTAAAATCTCACGTTTGTACCTTTGATGGTCCTTGAAAAAAAAAAAAAGATCTTTAAAAACGAACCCCATGGCAAATTTTTCCACGATGAACTCTTTTTGAAAATATATTTAAGTTCATTGACAATGAAAAAAATTCATCTATCATTCACATAGCTTCACCACCCAATGTTATGAAACCCGTATAGTTTTTCTAGTCCAAATTGAATATTTATTTGATATTGACCCCAATTAGTTTTTGTTTCCACTTGAATACCATATAAATAATAGTAATTTTGAATGCAGTCAGCAAACGGCTGCAATATTTGGCTGCAAAAATACCTCCAATTAATATGAACCTAAAAGATTTCAAATTTTTCGCATCTTCGGTTTTCTTACTATTTTTGATCCAAGAAGGACATGCAGAATGTAATAATGGCTATTAAATTTGGGTTTTTAATTCCACTCAGACTAATTTTTTTGCTTTTTCCCCTTTTTAGCACTCCTACCTTGGCCGGAGCGCATTGTGGGTGGCACGGATTTACCCGAGGGGTATTATGTACCCTATCAAGTCTCCTTACAATATCTAATGAATCCCGAGAGTGTCCAACACCGTGGTCCAGTCTATAAACATTTTTGTGGTGGCTCGATTTTAACGCCCCAACATATTCTCACAGCAGCCCATTGTTGTTATGGCTTCGATGTGAGGCGTTTGACAGTTGTGGCTGGCATACGAGATCTTCGGGATCCCATGGCGAGACGCTACTCGGTGGATAATATTCAAATACATTCAAATTATACGGAATTGCTTTCGAATGATATTGCCATTATAAAATTATCCCAGCCCTTGGATATTGATAATAGCACACAATCTGTAATAGAATATGTGAGTGAAGAACGTATTCCCGGAGGTGTGACGGTTTTCTTATCCGGTTGGGGTTTGAGAATACCTGTGAATTTGCAGATACCTTTTTCATGGCCATTAGTGCAGGAGCACTTAAATACAATTAGTTCTTCATCGATTTTGCAAGTCATGCATTTTCGCACCGTTTCGGATTTCCAATGTAAATTGGCCATTGAACATTTGACGCCGCGGGAGTTGTGTGTTACAGGCGATTGGATTTCGGGAGCGTGTTCGGTAAGTTAAATGGATCTATGCCTTCCTTTCGCCCATTTCTGACCCTGGTTTATCGAAATTTTAAATATTTTTGTCTAATTTCCTAGGGTGACTCTGGAGGACCTTTGGTGATGCTTACCAAAAATGGTTTGGTCCAAGTAGGACTCGTATCGTATGGCTTATTTGTTTGTGGTGTTTTCAATGGACTCGTACCAGATGTTTATACCCGAATATCGGAATATACTGATTGGATAGAAAATAACATTAAAAGCTAAGATATCCTTAAAATAAAAAAATTAAAAAAAAACAATTTTTGAGGACCAATAGAGCATCAAAGGAATATTTTTTCAAGGACTACCAAATGTGGAGTTTTTAAAGAATATTTTTCAAGAAGCACATAATATTTTTCCAGAATTAATCGTGGATTTTTAAAGGTATATTTTTTTAAGGACCATGATACGTGGATTTTTTAAAGAATGTTTTTCCAAGGACATCTAACGTGGATTTTTTAAAGAAACATTTTTGTAAGCATAATTGTGGATTTTTAAAGAAACATTTTTGTAAGCATAATTGTGGATTTAAAAAAAAAATTATAAGGATAATTGTAGATTTTTAAAGAATAATTTACCAAAGACCATCAAACGCAGATTTTAAAAGGAATATTTTTCAAGGAGCATCAAACGTAGATTTTAAAAAATATTTTTCAAGGATTAGTCATGGATTTTTTAAAAAAATCGTCAATCGTGGATTTTTTTAAAGAATATTTTTCCAAAGACCATCAAACGTGGATTTTTTGGAAAAGATGGATTTTTCAAAACAAACATTTTTTCAAGGAACATCAAACGTGAATTTTTAAAAAAGAATATTTTTTCAAGGACCATCAGACGTGGATTTTTTAAAGAATATTTTTCCAAGGACCATCAAACGTGGATTTTTTGGAAAAGATGGATTTTTCAAAACGAATATTTTTCCAAGGACCATCAAACGTGGATTTTTAAAAAAGAATATTTTTTCAAGGACCACCAGACGTGGATTTTTTAAAGAATATTTTTCAAACCTGGATTTTTAAACAGAATATTTTTTTAAGTATTTTTTCAAACGTGAATTTTTTAAAGATTATTTTTCAAGGATTAATCGTGGATTGTTAAAAAATATTTTTTCAAGGAACTACAGACAAATATTCCTGAAATTTTTATGAGTATTTAAAGGACGTTTTTTAAGTACCGACAAAAAAATAATCGTGGACTTTTAAAAAAAATGTTTTCAAGGACCAAAAGACAATTATTCGTGGATTTTTAAAGAAAACTGTTTCAAGGACCAAAAGACAAATATTCTTGGATTTTTAAAGAAAATGTTTTTAAGGACAATATTCAAGACAAATATTCGCGGATGTATAAAGAATTTTTGTTTTTTAAGACAAATATTCGTGCATTTTTAAAGAAAATTTTTTTCAAGACAAATATTCGTGGATTTTTAAAGAAAATATTTTTCAAGACAAATATTCGTGGATTTTTAAAGAAAAATTTTTTCAAGACAAATATTCGTTGATTTTTAAAGAAAAATTTTTTTCAAGACTAATATTCGTTTTTTTTAAAGAAAATTTTTTTCAAGACAAATATTCCTGGATTTTTAAGAAACATTTTTCATGGGACCAAGAGTTAAATTATCAAGGACCAAAATATGAATATTAGTAGGTTTTTAAAGAATTTATTTTCAAGGATGAAATGACAAATATTGGTGGATTTTTAAAGTATTTTTTCAAGGACCAAAAGACAAATATTCGCTGATATTTAAAGAAATTTTTTTCAAGGACCAAAAGACAAATATTCGTGGATTTTTAAAGAAAAGTTTTTCAAGGACCAAAAGACAAATATTCGTGGATTTTTAAAGAAAAGACAAATTTTCTTGGATTTTTAATAAAAAAACTTTTCAAGGACCAAAAGGTTCACCCAAGAAATAAAAAATAAAATCCTACGTCAATTTAGCGATGTCCGTCCGTCTGTGGGAATCACTCTATCTTCCGAACGAAATGAAGTGGGCTGATAAAATTTTATTCAAATGTATATTATGTCTGCAAGACTTTTGGTGTTGAAAATGGGCTATGTAGGTCCATTTTTTGGTATAGCCCCCATATAATGGAACCTCCCTATTTTCGGGGTTTTTTTTTCTTTTTTTTATATTTGAAGTTCGTAATGGACACTGCAGCCTAAGACATAAAATTGTCTGTGCAGGTCCACGTCTTCGTATAGCCCGATATTCGGTATTTTGATGATTTTAGAGTCTTTATTCACCGGAATTGTTTATATATTTAAGTGCAAATTTTGTAAATTGTAAGTGAAAATTGTCAAATTCGTACTAAATTGTGGATGGTATTAAAAGTTCGGCGCGGCCGAATTTACAGTTTTTTTTACTTGTTAATGCTTAAATGCTTCTAAAAGTTATCAAGGCATATTTTGTTGAATTTTTAAAACAATTTCTCAGATTTTAGATCTCAGAGTATTAGATTTCTAATCATTGATTGTTGTGAGATATTCAGTGACTGATTAGACTTCTTTTAACCTCAGCTATGACATTTTGTCTTATTACCACACCTATACCTATGTACAAATCCGAGCGAATAAAATGTCAATGTCATTGCGATTACAAATAGACGATATGTTGCCGCTGTTGCACCAACCAAATAAATAGTTCAAACACATGGGTGTTCCTCCCCTAGAATGATAAGAATTACTTGGCTATCTACCCTGCGGTGTCTTAACGAGCATGACCAAGTTCTTTGGAATTGCTATTCGCCTATAAATAAAACGACTTTGAAATAGAAAAGGCAATCAGTTTTTCTTTGACAAAGAAGAGTGACAAGACAATGTTTTCAAGAGTTTTGCTGGGTGTTGCTTTGGCACTTGCCATAGGACACTCTTATGCCGACCAGTCCTGGGAAGAACCTTTGGATTGTAAGTTACATATATTCAAACTTTAAACACATAATATTCATTTTTCAAATTTCGTTTCCCTCCCTCCAGTGGATGCCTATTTCGATGCATTGGATGCCATTCCAGATTCCCAGGAGCGTGTAGTGGGCGGTTATGGTGTGGATAGTGAGGAGTACATAAACTATCAAATCTCTCTGCAATACAATAAGGACGGTGATTATCGTCATTTCTGTGGTGGTTCCATAATATCACCCAATCGCATTTTGACAGCCGCCCATTGTGTCCAGGGACAAAATGCGGAAAAATTAAGCATTTTAGCTGGTATCAATGATTTGCGTTCAAAAGATGGCTCCCGATCTCAGGTTACAGCCATTGATGTACATAAGAACTATGTACCGCTTAAGTCCAGTGATATTGCAATTTTAAATATTGATCCTCCACTAAAATTGGACGGCAAACGTATTGAGAAAATCAATTTCAGTAATCCCGAAAAGGTGGGCGGTAAACAACCGGTGCGCTTATCCGGTTGGGGTTCGGTACATCATTTCGGTAATGGCATATTGGCTAGATATCCCAAGAGATTGCAATTGCTGAACTATGAAACCATTACCAATGAACAGTGCAAACAGATCATGTCGGATTTATCGGATACGGAAATATGTGCCCGCGAGAGATTCGGCAAGGGGGCTTGTAATGTAAGTGTATGAAAGATGGAAAATTGTTGTTGTTTTTGTTATTTTCGTTTTTTTTTTCATTTTCCCTTTAGGGTGATTCCGGTGG